ATCATGGCACCTGTTAGTGAGTGGAATATATTGGGGAAAAGTGAACATTTTATTCTCAAAGTTAAGTTAAGTCCAAAACTGTGATGGCTAGATGACTGGGTCATAGCATCTCTAAAATTACAGCTCTTGTGGGGTGTTCTCAGTCTGCAGTGGTCAGTGTTTATCAAAATTGGTCTGCAGAAGGAACAGTGGTGAAGCAGTGACAGGGTCATGGACGGCCAAGGCTCACTGATGCACAACTGGAGTGAAGGCTGGCCTGGCTGGTCTAATCCAACAGACAAGTTACTGTAGCTCAAGTTATTGAAAAAGTTCATGCTGGTTCTGATAGAAAGGTGTCCGAATACACAGAGCATCACAGTTTGTTGAGTATGGGACTGCATAGCTGCAGACCAGTCAGGGTTCCCATGCTGACCTCTGCTCACTACAGAAACCACCACCAACGCTCCTGTGAGCATCAGAACTGGACCACAGAGTAATGAATGAAAGTGGCCGGGTTTGATAAATCACATTTTCTTTTACATTATGTGGATAGCCAGGTGCTTGTGCGTTGATTACTTGGGAAACACCAGGCACCAAGATCCACTATGGAAAGAAAGCAAACTGGCAGAGGCAGTGTGATGTTTTGGGCAATGGGACCTTAGATTCTGCCATCCATGGACGTGAATGTTACTTTTACCACCTACTTAATCAAACCCTGATGGCTGCGGCCACTTTCAGCAGCACAATCTGTCCTGCCATAAAACAAAAAATGATCTCGGGACAGTTTGAGGAGAACAACAATGAGTTTGAGGTGTTGACTTGGCCTCCAAATTCCCCAGATGTCATTCCAATCAAACATCTGTGTGATGTGCTGGTCTGAACAATTGACACCCCACCTCACAACTTACTGGACCTGACCTGTGAAGTGTAGTACTCTGCTGACTTTCAATATGACAGCAGCAGGTGAATAAGACAGAGTATTCATGACCTCTAGTGGGGGCATCTGTAACTGCAGGTGACTTACAAAAAGGGACAAATTCACCCACAAAAGAAAGTGATCCAGTCATCACTCAGGAATGTCGCAGGTTTTAACATTTAATCTGGATTAAAACTGCTCAGAATCTCAAAAAGTTTGTAGAAAATTCATTGTGAAAAAAAGTGAATGATGTGACCTCATCTTTCCTCCATAACGAAGAATCATTTTTAAACATTTGCAGTGTTTGTGACCTTTGATTGTCTCTGATAATTGTAGATTTTTCAGTGAAAATTTTACATTTAGAAACAAACACACAAAGCAGTCATACACTGATGATACGAGAGAAGTAAAGCTCAATACAGACACAAGAAACAACTGACTATCAAAATAAAACAGGAAATGAGAATTAAAAACTAAACAGTTAAACAGCCACAACAATAAAGTTAACAAAGGGCAACTGACACTGACACATGAGCAGGAAACACTGAGGTAACAAATGAAGAACAATACCAAAACTACAACTAAAACTATATGCAATCCATCTGCAGGGAATCAAGTATTTTCAAAATAAAATGGTACTTGTGTCAAACAGTTGAGCTCTGTGCACTAAATAAATCCTAAAATAATATTTGAGCTTTTTTTTTTAAAGATTGTTGCAGAACAAAAACAACATGTATTCACATAATTATCATAAATGTCACCCAGAAATGTTTGTTTTTCTGTTTATTTTTAATTTTTTCTTTGTGTGTCCTAAATTGTTCTAAATTGTTTCCAACAGAATCGTAGGGAATCTTCTTACTACCTGGCCTCAGATACTCACTGGTGAGACAATCATCTCTAATATATGAGATACAGGGAGGTGAAGGCAAAGGGTTTGAAATACAAATGGGCACCACCCAACACAAACAACCTTCAAACATCTGGTGAATACAGGATCATCTGACTCCATCCATCTCCATCCCTATCATCCTCTTCTGTCACACCAACCCTCTGTATGTGCTTCTTCTTCACTACATCCATGAATCTTCTCTGTGGTCCTTTTCTTCCTCCTGCCTAACAGCTCCATCTTCAACATCCTTTGTTATCGACTATCCCTCCTCTGCACATGTCCAAACCATCTCAGCCTTGTGTCTCTGACTTTGTTTTCAAACAGCTCAACCTGAGCCGTCCCTCTGATGGACTCATTTCTAATCCTGTCCATTC